ATGTTGACCAGGATGGTCTCGATCTCTTGACCTTGTGATCTACCCGCCTCAGCCTCCCAAAGTGCTGGGATTACAGGTGTGAGCCACCGTGCCCGGCCCTATTCTTTCTTTCCTTATTTTTGAGAAAGAGCCTCACTCTGTCACCCAGGCTGGAGTGCAGTCGCACAATCTTGGCTCACTGCAATCTCCACCTCCTGGGTTCAAGCGATTCTCCTGCCTCAGCCTCCTGAGTAGCTGGGATTACAGGCGAGTGCCACTGTGCCTGGCTAATTTTTATATTTTTAGTAAAAATGGGGTTTCATCACATTGGCCAGGGTGGTCTTGAACTCCTGACCTCAGGTGATCTGCCTGCCTTGGCCTCCCAAAATGCTGGGATTACAGGTGTGAGCCACTGTGCCTGGCCTGGGTTTTACTTTTTATTAAATGATCCAAAGCCTGCTGCCTGAAGCTTTTAAAGCCTAGTGGCAAATAAGCTCTTCTAACTTTGGATTTGTCCTGGGACCATGTGACAATTCTAAATCAGTTTGGCAGAGCACATGCCCCGATCCAGGGTCATCGATGTTTTGAGATTTTCTTCTATTTGTTTTCTATCAATGAAAGAAGTGCAAGATAAAAACAAAACACTTGGCACACCCAACTTTAGAAATGTCAGCAATCCTTCTAAAGGTTACAGACCAGCCAGACCGCCGCTGTGTCCTTTGTGGGCTGGACCAGGCTTGGTTTGCATGGCCTTGGCACCCCAGGCTATGCTCTCAGCAGCTAGAGGTGTTAGCACTGAGGGTAGACACGCCGCTTGTTTCTGACCCCCAAAGTTCGTGTCTCCTTCAGCAAGGAGGGTCTATAGGTCCGCATCTCCCCAAGTCTCACTCCTCATCCCCTGGGCAGTGAGGTGGAGTCTCACTCTGTCGCCAGGCTGGAGTGTGGTGGCACAACCTCTGCTGACGGCGACCTCCGCCTCCTGGGTTCAAGTGATTCTCCTGCCTCAGCCTCCCGAGTAGCTGGGACTACAGACATGTGCCACTATGCCAAGCTAATTTTTGTATTTTTAGTAGAGATGGGGTTTCACCATATTGGCCAGGCTGGTCTTGAACTCCTGACCTCATGTTCTGCCCACCTCGGCCTTCCAAAGTGCTGGACTTACAGGCATGAGCCACCGCGCCTGGCCTGATTTCTCCTTTTTTAGGTGACTGCCCTTGGAGCTCAGAGCTGGGGAAGGTGCTCCATAGGCATTGAGTTTGAGCCCCAATCCCAGTAAGCAGGAGGCCTGTAGAAGCCGGAGCACAGACACAGCCCCCTGCAGATGCACTTTGTGATGGAGGATACCCAGGAGAGACTTTTTATTTTTAATTTATTTTATTAATTATTAATTATTACTATTAATTTTTTTTTGAGAGGGAGACTTGTCACCCAGGCTGGCATGCAGTGGTGCGATCTTGGCTCACTGCAACCTCTGCCTCCCGAGTTCAAGCGATTCTCTTTCCTCAGCCTCCCAAGTAGCTGAGATTACAGGCACATGCCACCATGCCTGGTTAATTTTTGTATTTTTAGTAGAGATGAGGTTTTGCAATGTTGGCCAGGCTGGTCTCAAACGCCTGACTTCAGGTGATCTGCCTGCCTCGGCTGCCCAAAGTGCTGGGATTACAGGCGTGAGCCACTGCTCCTGGCCCTAGGAAAGACTTCTTTTTTTTTTTTTTTTTTTTTTTTTAAATTTTCTCCCGATTATGTTCAGTCTCAGGAAAGACTTTTTAAGAAGCTTTAGGCCAGGCATGGTGGCTTATGCCTCTAATCCGAGGCCAAGGCGGGTGGATCACGAGGTCAGGAGTTCAAGACCAGCTTGGCCAAGATGGTAAAACTAATCATCTAACAATACTAAATAACTGTATTTTCCGTCTCTACTAAAAATACAAAAATTAGCTGAGCATGGTGGCGTGCCTCTGTAATCCCAGCTACTCAGGAGGCTGAGGTAGGAGAATCGCTTGAACCTGGGAGGCGGAGGTTGCAGTGAGCTGAGATCGCGCCATTGCACTTCAGCCTGGGCGACAGAGCTCACACCCATGTATCCAAGAAGCTCACTCCTGTGCACTGGAAAGTTGTTTAAGTCTAAAGGGAAATGATAAGCTAAAAAAAAAAAGTGTCCCTGTAGAAGGGACCATAGGCCTTCTAGCGATCTCTGTACATGGAAGACAAGCGTTTACAAAATGGAATCGGTGGCCCCACAAACTGGATGAAATGTCTAGTTCTAGCTCTCAGTGTCTTCTGTGTAGAATGAGGGTTGGGGCTGATGCTGAGCAGTGAATTTTCTTCATCCTTAAGTAGTGCAAGATGGTGTATGGGAAGCCGTGCCGGAAATACATTTCCTAAGAGGAAGTTTGTGTGGTCCGAGTTGGATATAAAATGTGTGAGGTGGGTGAAAGATAGGGTCCCAGATTCCTTTTGTCTTTTGAGACAGAGTGTCGCTTTCTCACCCAAGGCTGGAGTGCAATGGCTTTGTCCAAATGTGTTGCATGGATTTTATGTAGTTTACTTTTTAGCTGAGTTGAATGTAATCTAAGTTGAAGTGTGGGCCACATTCAGAGTTTTGTTTTTATTACCGGGGTTCTGGGAGGTGCTGAATTTGGAGAGTGGAAAGGTGGGTTGGGGGTCAGATGAAGGTGGGCTGAGGGGTTTTTTCATTCACCCGATGATTCATTGACCACCCGCTCTGTGCCTGGCATCATACTAGATGCCCTGGAAACAGATGACAGGCAGATACCTGCAAGAATTTTAGGGGTTTGTGGGGAAGGAAAAGAAGGGAAGCAATGTTGACAGTGTGGCCTCATGAGAACGATGCACAAGGTGCTGGGAACCAGGACCAGGGCCGCCTGCCTCGGTCAGGAGCGTTAGGGTAAGCTCCCCAGAGAGGGGACTCAGGCTCGGTCTTAAAGGACATTTAGGAGACATGGCTGAAGGTCCGAAAGAGGGAGGGGACGCTTGAAGGAGGAAAGGCCCTGGGGAGAGAGGAAAGGATGTGGGGAGCATCCCTATGGCTGAAGGGACCCGAGGCAGCAAGGCAGATGCGCAGGCACTGGAGCAGGGGCTGGGGGCTCTGTGTCTGGCAGCCGGAAACTCTGTGTTACCTGGGGAGTAGAGGTCTCATGAGAGTGGGGCTCAGGGCCTGGGGAGAGTGGTGTTTCCCATTAGCCACAGAAGTTCTGCTGGCACAGAAGGCCTGGCGGGACTGGAGGGCACTCGTTTGCAGGGCTTGGTGGTCCTCCCCAGCGGCCCTCGGAGCAGAGGTGGACGGCAGAATCACTTGAGCCATTGTGTGGGGGTGTGGCGGAGGCAAAAGGCAGCGGGCTGAGGGTGTGGGGGAGAAGGTGGGTGGAGGGAAGGGCTGTGGCGTTTCGTCTGGCCAAACTAGAGGCACAGCAGACCGCGGGCTTGGAACCCAGAGCTCCCCAGACTTGAAAACACTGGATGTGGAAGCCAGACTGAGTGCTGGGTGGAGAAACCAGGCCCCTGTGCATTGCTGGTGGAATGTGAAATGGTACAGCTGCTGTGGGGAACAGAATGACTGGGCCTCAAAGAGTTAATCTTAAAATTGCTGAGGATCCAGCAATTCCCTTGTGAGTCCACGCCTGGAAGAACTGAAAGTGGGGACTTGAACAGATCTTTTGCACACCAGTGTTCACAGCAGCATTTGCACAACAGCTAAAAGGTGGAAGCAACTCAAATGTCCATCAACAGATAAATAGATCAGCAAAATGTGGTCTCTCCATACAATGGAATATTATTCAGCCATGAAAAGGAATGGAATTCTCATGTTATAGCCATGGCTATAACATGAATGAACCTTAAAAACATTATGATAAGTGGGCCAGGCACAGTGGCTCATGCCTGTAATCTCAGCATTTTGGGAGGCCAAGGCAGGCAGATCACCTGAGGTCAGGAGTTTTGAGACCAGCCTGGCTAACATGGAGAAACCCAGTTCTCTATCAAAAATACAAAAATTAGCCCGGTGTGGTGGTGGGCACCTGTAATCAATCCCAGCTACTTGGGAGGCTGAGGCAGGAGAGTTGCTTGAACCTGGAAGGTGGAGGTTGCAGTGAGCTGAGATCACACCACTGCCCTCCAGTGTGCGCGACAGAGCAAGACTGTCTCAAAAACAAAACAAAACATTATGCTAAGTGAGGTAAGCCAGACACAAAAGGACAAATATATGATTCTACTTACATGTCATATCTAGAATAGGCAAATTCATGGAGACAGAGTAGAAGGAAGGGTGGTCACCAAGGGCTGTGTGGAGGGAGGAATGGGGAGTTCTTAATGGAGACGGAACTTGTGTTTGGGATGATGAAACAATTCTGGAAATAGTGATGATGGCTATACAATAACGTGAATGTAATTAACGTTGCTAGTAGTCCACTTAAAAATGTTAAAATGATAATTTTATGTGATGTATATTTTACCATAATTTAAGACAAAAAGAGTGTCAGAAGGCTGGGAAGCCCCGATCCCAGCAGGATGCGAAGTTTCTTAGGCTTGCTGAAGTGGTGCTGCTTTGGGCACAGGGTCTGGACGGGGCCGTGGAGCACACAGCTCAAGTGGGGAGTGACAAGGGCCCTGGCGATAGGCCAGCGAGCCATGAGGCTGCAGGTGTTGATGGTATCCAGTGAGAGGGCAGGGCCTGGTGTGGAGGATCCAGGATGCATGTTGGAGAGCTCCCAGGACAGCAGGTGACAGCCACACCTGAGGTGTCAGGGACAGAGACTGGGAGCAGGTGGGGCTGACACGGCTCGGAAGAGACAGCGGGAAGCCGGGAGACTCTTAGCCCTGCTCACGGGAATTGGTAGTAGCATGCTCTCAAGGCCCTCCCTCTCTCTGCACATTTTCAACGCAGTGGTGGTTTCTACACATTTCCAGAGGCATGAAATAATCCCAAAATATGTTACTTGTAACAGTCACCTCTTCCCTCTGATGACGGGTCTGGTTCCAGGATGAATAAACATGCCAGGCAGGTGTACAGTGATTTCAAACAGTTTAATGTAATTCCAAGACAAAGTGTGATTACATTTCTACACATATACAATATGCATATGTGAGTTTACAAATTTTAATTAATAAGTCGTTTCACCTCAGAGACCGAAAAAATGATCAAAAAGAAACTGTGAGTAACAAGCTATAACATAGTTCACCACAACGGGACCCCCCTTTTTCTCACCCTACAGTTAGTAATATTACAATTAAAATAACTATATTCTTCTATAATTTTTTTCTGTTAAAATCATCTCATAAATTTACAATGCTATTATTAGTTTCCAAGACTAATATAAATTCACTCCATTTTTCTACAACGAAAATGATTAATTTAGAAGCACACGACGTCATGATGAAAAACACAAGCATTTTAGTAGCAAGGACTTGATCAGTTAAGAATTAGTTATCTTGTAAAACATTCTAAAGCCAAGTAAAATATCCATTCTTATAACATACCTATAATATGAGACTAAGGAATAGGTTACATATAGGTCTACAACACATTGGTTTGTCTTTAAAAAAAAAAAGTAGACATTTATAAATAAAAAAGAGGGACAATTCACATAGGAAAAAGAGGTACACAAGAAAATACTGTCGCACGCAATAATTTTCACATAGATTAACATGGATGAACACTTTTTATTACAGAAACCATACGGTGAAGGAACACAACAGACCAGGGCTTTCATAGGGTTATTGAGATTGAGCTGAGATGACCTGGGAGAGAAAGATCTAGGTGAGATGACCGTGGGGAGGGAGCCACGTTCCTTGGACCTGGTGATGGAGTGTCACCAGGTCTCCTCTTCCCTGTTCTCGTTTTGGGGAGTGAGTCTTTCTATCCAGTGTCCTGAATTCATGGGCAGTTGAAAGGTAAACATTTCTACAGATCCGTTCCCTTTCCATCCTAATGGATACCATTTTTGGAAATGTGATAGTGTATCAGAGGCTGCAGCTCAATACATGTGGTCAAAGCAAAATGGGATGGAAAATTCCAGTCATCCTGATTTGTTGCCCCCCTCACCCATCGATGCCCTTGAAGCTGGGACCCAGTGAGAGCAGCGGCACCCTGCAGGGCCCGCCAGCTCTGCTGCGGTGAGGTGGATGAGAAGGGCCTGGTGCCACGCCTCAGGCCCCATGTGTGCGGAGTGGCCTGGGACGCGGCCCATGCGTGTCCAAGACACCAGTGCTGACTCCGACCTCTAAAGAGCTCCTCCTTCTCCCTATCCGTAAAGCTATACTTCTCCTATCAAATTTGGTTTGATATATATACACAAACATATATATCAACATCTATCTCTATACAGTGATTCTACTAAACTAGAAATTCTGCTGCCCCAAGGTATGACTTTCTTGTTCATTTGGTTAAAAAAATGTACACAAAGAGGATGAGAGATGATTTGGGGGCCAGAGATGATTGTGCCCTGGGAAGTCCATGGAAGAAGCTTGAAGTGAGCAGGAACACAAAAGGGAAGGGAGCAGAAACAGGACTGAGGACTCAGGGCAGCGCAGACAGGAATATCTGCTCGGGGGCAGGGTGGTGGGGCGGAGTGGGGGGGCTGTTATCTGTCCCATTCATCAGTTACAGTAAGCTACCAAGGATGCACATGGTCAAGCCACTTTCTGCTTCCCAAGTTCCTCCTTATAACCTGAGCCAAACAATTTCCACAATGACAATCCATGGCCCTTTCAGCCCAGCAGGCGACTCCGGAGGTTCGGAGGTTCGGCCACCAGCCTCAAGGCTGAGTAGGGCCTTCCTGTGGGCTCTCGTGCTTCCTGGGAGTCCTGGGTGCCTGGGGCTGGGGCTGTGGTGACAGCAGGTCGAGGCAGAGGTGGCCCTCGGGACAGTGACTCTACATAAGGAAGGAAGGGGGCAGTGCCACGAGAGATTCATTTGGAGATTGGTTACAAAGAAGCCAGGGAGAGCAGAGGCAGAGCCCTCTTCAGATACAGCATACTTACTTTTCAAATGAACAAAAAGGCAATTTCTATGTTTTAAAAATATAAGCCCCAAAGACAATGACACAGAATTCATTTGGTTAATTCATGTAAAGGAAAAACACCACCACCACCACCAAACGAACAGGGAAGTGGGAGCATGATTAGGAGGGGTGAGATGGACACTATTTTACAGAAACATTTCTACCAAAAGACTGTCGAAAGAACACGCTGTCGATGCAGTTCACAGGGAAAAAGCAAATGCATTATTTTCTGTATTCCTTAAAAGCTCCCTGGTCCCAGGTGTTCTGCCGTTTTCAAGGTCTTATCTGCTAAAGCAAAGCCCTTCAGGTCACAGCGGGTCCCCTGCAGTTTGGTGGTGGCACAAGAGAAAACATTAAACAAACCAAGACTCAGAGAAACTGCCATTCCCCGAGTCTGTTCCTGCGTGACAGTGAGGCCCATTCCTGTCTCAAAGCATCTCTCTTGTTCCAAACATGGTGTCCCTTTACAGTGGGTCTCAGTGGACCAGGCTGAGCCACCCCTCCGTCTCCGCCTCCTTCTCCTGCTCAGCACTGACCATCTCTGAGAGGATGATAAGGTCTCCCTTCCACCCGACTAGGCTTCGAGTCTAAGCTGGACAATGAGTAAAACATAAACATAGCCTTTTACATTGATTTTGCTTTCAAGGGGAAAATGAATAAATGACAGCAGATATATGGAAAACCCAGCCAGTAACCATGGGAATAGGGGTGTATGGTCCTCCCCGACAAAACGCTGATCAGAATATCACCCGGGGCCCAGAAGTAGCAGCTGTGCCTTCGTGGTCACCTGAATCCCAGTGTCTTCTACTGCCTGGTGCCTGGAAATCAGTGGATCGATTAATAAGTCAAATATTCAATCAAGACAAAAATCAATGAACCAGGTTATCTGTGCTTAATGACTCTTCCAAGATGTCAGAGAGAAGGCCTTGAACACAAGTGTTTATACCACGTGCATGAGAGCTTCTCACTCGGCCCGGCTGCGGACTCACACCTTCTCCCTCCATCTGGATTGCCTTTCACATTCTCTCGAGTTCACATGGAAACCAAAAATACAGAGGGAAGTTACATGCTGGGCTACAGAAGAGTCTGGACAACACACCTGCCTTGGGGGAGACACGGCGGCATTCGCTGGGGTTTGAAGATGTCAGTTATAAACAGAACTTTTCTTTAAAAAGTACCAGTTTAAATGTAAACTATAAAACACTTTAACTATAACGTAGCCAGAAATATGCTTAAGTATCCACAGTCAATTGTTTAGTTTACTCATTTAAAATGTGACTCTCTTGATATCTTAGAAGGCTAACAGCATTTTACAGTAGCTAAAAACATATATATTTAACATGTGCATTTGAACATCACATTTGAGTACAATACACAAAGAATAATCTCTTCCTTGGTTTAATTTTTGTTGTAAAGATGAGCTATTTTCAGAATTCACTTAAGCAACGATCACCGGGGTATGAAAGAATCATTATTTTCAGCCCACAGAGAATTCATAGTCTTTAAATTCCAAGATCAAGCTGGCTACATGATTTCAAAAAAGGCTAAAACCAGGATGAATGCCCACATTTGAGGTAATTATTGCCATTAGGTCACAGTTTGTGTAAGATAATGTATCTAAAACCTTCTAAAAAAAAAAAAAATCTTTAGGTGTTCTGCCAGAATTCCAGAATACCTATTGAAACCAACCAGGATCTCAAACTCTGATTAGTTGGGTTTGCTTCCAATGGAGTTAAAGTTCTAAAAGATTCTAGAACTCCTGTAAACTACCTAAGAATTTAGGCAAACAAGCCTGGAGCCAGTCAACAAAGAAGGTTTTAAATGAAAAAAGCAACAATCCCACTCAAAACAACCAAACAAATATTTCATAACAAATGATAACAGTTCTTTTAAAAAATTAAAAATCTAGTCCTAAGCATTTCTAAATTCTCACCACCTTTCAACCAAAATAAAAATGCATCTGTATTTCTGTTAATCTCATACCAGGGCAAGAGACACTCCTTTTCATCATGAAAGCTGGCTGGTTTTCCTGTTTATACAATTGTTGCTGTTTCTTTAAGAAGAGTATCTATCTCAAAAGAAAGCATTCTTTTGTTCCTCTAACTCTTGTCTTTCTTCCACCTCTTCTTCTTCTTCTTCTTCTTTTTTTAACAGAAAGAAAAAAGTTCCTGGACACCAGAACCACATATGATATTTACAAATTTGGTGTGAACCCTGCCTCTGGTTCTGCCCAGAGCTGAAGAGTGAATCTATTACAGAGATCAGAGCTGACAGGATAATTATCAAGTGCAGTAAAAAATAGCATTTAGAAAAAAATATATAACTTTAGTATTGCCTTTCTAGAATTAACTATAAGCAAGAAAAAATTATTTTTTAAAGAAGAAAAGAATACTTCTTTTTCACTCTTATAAGAGTCGGTTGTAGCAGCACTACTAAAAGCTAGTTGGTATGCTGGAAAGAAATCTAAAAGGAATTCTACTATGAATCAAAAGAAACTCCCCAGAGATTTTCTCGCAAAGTCAAAACTAATTCTTCCCTTTTGCCTACATCCAGTTCAGGCAGCAGTCCCCTCTCTGCACAGCCCTCCAGCTGAGTTCCACGGTGCAGGGACGGCGCCGGGTGATGCAGTGTAAAAGGCCTTTCTTTGCACAGACACGCGGGAGACAGCTGTGGCTAATGACTGCAAGCTCAGCTCTGGAGCTGCGCAGACCCAGAGTCAAGCCCTCCTCGCCCCTCATGAGCTGCGTGGCTCCGGGCATTTTCCTCCGCTGTAGGGGGACTGATACTGCTGATCTCACAGGGCTACCGAGGTGAGGAAACAGGACAACCCACGGGCAATTCCCAGCACAGTGTTTGGCACGCAGGAAATGGGAGTATCACGAAATGGTTCATAGAAGTATGAGGCCACACATTGCTACTCATTAAAAAACGTAAAAGATTAGAAATCACATCTCAGGAAGAGCCTGATGAACACAAAAGGGAACCTAGCGGATTCTGGAGCATCCCTGCTTTATCCTTCCTCCAACACCTGTACCTTCCAGAGCGTCCTGTCAGTTTCCTCATCTGAAAACGGGGGCTGTTTTCCCCCTCCCTGTGGGGTGGTTGTGGGGGCTCCTTGAGACCACACTCATAGAGGCCTTGGCCCAGGTGTCCTGAAAGCATTCAACACATGTTGAATGGCTACGATTTACCTGAGGGATGTTACAAATTTTAACAAATAAGGGACAGTCAGTGTCAGGTTCAACACAGGGATCTGAGATGAGGGGCTCTCAGAGGCTTGGGCACGTCCAGCAGCAGCATCAGGAAGACCCTCTCTGGTGCTGGTGTTCTGGGGCCCGAGCCCTGCAGGGGCCATTTCTCTGCATACTCTCACTGAGTTCTTTTCTGAACTTTAGGAATCTGCAACGAAGACACGAGAAACTTCTATGCTGGGTCCCTCTAGTGAGCTACCGTGTCAAAGCCTCTAATAGTTTCTTTTGCATTTTAATCCCATTTCACCGTCTTCCATTCTCTAGTGGCCTGAGATTGCACCGAGTCTGGTCTGTGGAGGTGAGAAGTGAGAGTTCTAAGGCATCACAGTGGGAAAGTACTGCTACCCCGAGCCCAGCCCCAGCGCGCTCAATGCCTGACGACGCAGCTGAACTCCCGGCAGCTCTGCTTCGCTTGCTCCCACGGTGGCCTGGGATTAGTCAAGCCCACGCATTGGTACGGCCCTCCGGTCTCCCAATCACAGCAGCATGGAAAGATTCCCTTCCACTTCTCTTAAAAGAATAGCACAGTTTTGAAATAAATGCATTTCTTTTTTTAAAAGAAAAAGGACAGAGAGGAAAGAGAAAGATAAATGGAAGTGCATCACTAATGGTGTCATTATTGCCTGGAAAGGAACGAGAGGAATGCTATTTTGTCCATCTCGGGAGGCGTCTCTGAGAAGGGTTCTTTGGCTAAAGAAAGGAACAGCTTCACCTTCCTTTCCAATTTGGTAAGGACATCTCTGGCCTGCTTAAGTTTGAAGCTTCCCCATCAGAAAGCTGTCAAACACATCAGAAGGAAAAGACACAGACAGGGAATGAAGCCTGCGAAGTCCCTGGGGCTGGAATGTGTCGTGGCAAAGTCACTCCTGCCGGCGCTGTGAAGTCCCAGGCTGGCCTGCGGAAGGAACCCTCGCCTCCCTTGAATTCTCTCTGCTAGTGGAGAGCCCCGAGCCATTTCCTTCTTTCCATTTTCTAATCTAGCAGCTACTTGACAGGCCAGCAAGAGTGGCGGTCCCACACCCCACCCTGCCCTCAGCATCAGACAGAGAGAACCTGGGGACAAAAGCTGGGGCGAGCCGGGGCCCCACGTCACTCTCTCAACCAGGAGCCATCAGTAATACTTCCCTAAGCCTCCTCATCTCCTCCCTCCAGTTTCCAAGAAAGTTTGTTCCACTCACTCACACGCACTCACACAGCCAAAATCTTCTACCCCAAGCTTGTTCAAATATGAGTGTTTGCCATTGCCAAGGTCCAATCAAGGGAAATTGTCCCATGGGCAGCTGGGCTGATCTCCCGTGCCCTTCCTGACGTCCACCTGTCCCACACGTTGGTGCTTGGGCAGGCCAAGTCTTCCAGGTTGAAGAGGACACAGGCCAGCTGGCTGCTACAGCCTGCAAACACCTCCACTACCAGGAAGGCTAGAAAGGTTGACAGTCCAGGAGACGGACGTCGCTTTGCTCCGACCCTTCTCTTTCCTCTGAATTCCACTGACCACACGCTCCACTTCACAGTATTAACTGGCATCAAGCCTTGACTCTCCCACCCCTTGATCTGCTCACCCGCTTCCCTTGGAAACATCCAAAACATCATGAAGAGGCCCTAAGCACAGAGACATGGGGGCCCACGTCCAGACGGAACAGTCAGAACCCAGCGAGCAGAAGCAAATCGCCCTGTGGTTCACCAGGCTCCAGTTCAGCACTCCTCCATGACCTGAACTTTCAAATCCTCCCCTTACTCTGAACGATGTTTCTTCAAAAGGGAAGGAGGGAGCCCACGGAGGACTAGAGGGTGCTCTAGGTGATTCACGGGTTACGTAAGGACTAGGTTGGCATCCCTCTGCTTGAGAGACTGGTCCTAGGGACAGCAGCCGATTTGCCAAGGTGACCCAATGGCAGATTCGGGCAGGTGTGCTGTTGAGCATACAGGGAGCTGGCCTCTCCTGCAGGGAGCTTCTCCTGGGGCTTCTGCCATGGCAGCTCCGTGCACGGGGGTGGAGGAGGCCGTTGGGTGAGGACTAGGAGAATGTGCACTAACGTTTGCTGAGCAGCTGTGGGGCTGGCCTCACCCAATACTTCACTTTCCTTCCCTTCAGTGAAGCCGGCCATTTCGCCCTTCTTCATCTGGGGCCTAGCAGTTTGTGGGTTTGGGGACAGCGTGTGAGCACCCATCACATACAGCACAGTGCACTGAGGGGTGTGGCCAGAGCCCAGTGGGGATGCTTGCAGAGGGAGTGTGGCCTGCAATGCCTGGGCAGCTGCCAGGCTTTGTTCTGGCTTTCTCTGGCCTCTTGCCATCCTTCCACCCGTTTCCAGCTAGAATTGGGTGCTGGGAACACGGATCACAGGGGAGGGGGCAGGCTGAGGAACTGGGTGGTGTGGTGAAATTTCCTGGGAAGGTACCACCTGCCAGTCACTCTTACGCCACATTACGTGCCCATTGGGTTCTGGAAGGGGGCAAATGTCTTTGCATTAAAGAATCTAAGCCACACCCCGGGTGCGCTGATGAGAAAAGGGTGGATGTTTGAGGAAGGGGCTGTGGTCACCTCTGGGAGGGGATATTTCTGCTTAATATCAGAGGCAAGCCACGGATTTAGTTAACAGATTTCAGAAGCACAGGAGGGCGCTGAGGATGTGGGAGAGAAGCCAGCTAAGGACTGGGCAGTCAGTGGCTTGGCATTCCCCTGACGTCACCATGAGACACCACCTGACGTCGCATCCCAGGCCGCTGGGCTCCAGAAAAGGACAACCTTGATGGTGACCATGGCGTCAGAAGCCCAATCAAGGCTTTGATTCTTCTTTCAACTTCTGCGGTGGATCTTACCGACGGCTCTTTGTGGGATAGTGATGATGGAAACAACTGTCCTACTTCCTAGTCTTTCCTTTTTTTTTTGCCTGACAAGACTGGACATCTGGATGTCCCTCCAGTCTACTCGTACACTCACAGAGAGAATAAGTTTAAATATTAAAGAGAAAACACAAAGATACTTGGAATAAATGTGCATTTAAAACCCTGACTAGAATATCAACATGATGATCCTGATATACTTACAATGGTAATAACAAAAATAATTAGTACAATAATATTATCTTTATAAGCAGCATGGAAATTTTATTCCTGATCTGGAAGAAAGAAAAGAAAATGTCAGGTGAAAGAGTAAGAAGCCTCCAACTTAAGCAGACAAAAGAACTTTCTTTAAAATGAAAAGAACATTTCAAGCTGTCTTTCCCCCTAAAAAGATCAGATCTAGAAAGGGCTGGAACTGAACTGTACCCAGGAGTCTGGGGTGCTCTCCAGTAAGGCGGACTGAGGCTCATTTGCAGCCAAGACCTGTAACTCTGGATGAGACCTGATGGGCTATTGCTGCCATCTGGCTGCCAAAAAGTCCCTAACAGACGGATTTTCCAGGCTGACCCAGCTGTTGGGCGTCAGGGGTGGCGGGGCGGGGAGGATCTGGCTTGTGTGTCCTCTGAAGCCTTTGCTGCTCTCGCCCTCTCTGAACTGACCATTTTCCTGCAGTCTCAGAGGGCTGCATTTCCCTACCTCTGGAAAAAGATGGTATTGATCACAGCCTGAGGGAGGACATCTCTCTGCTGCTGGCCTCTTGCCAGCTCAGCCTCCAGTGGGCACCCGGCAAGATTGCCCGGCTGTGCCCAGCATTGAGCAGTCACGGGGCCCTTCCTTCTTGCCGAGGCCTGGACTAAGTTGTTTCCAGTTGGGACCTATTTCTTTATAAGTAAGAATTTATGGTTGGGGTGGTGAAGTTTCCAGAGTTATTTCACAGCTAAGAGCTAAGTAACAGCGTCGTTACTGAATTAGGTTGGATATCACTACGAAAATACCTTTCACAGTAATCCTTAGGGGAGACTGCAGAGTGAGGAAGTAAAGGGTGGGAGGATGGGGATGGGGCCGCTGACTCGGAAAAGATCTCTTTGCACCTTGGAAACTTGGCTGTGGGGTCAGCTAAGGACTCAGCATCAGAAGCAAACAATTGGAACCACCCTTTTCGGCACCATCCTTGGCCAGATTCTCCTGCCGTTCACATTCATATATTTCAGAGTTATTTACTATGAACAGAGAGAACTCCCCACCTCTCCACACCTCCACCTCCAGCAGTGTCCAAAGCCTGAGAAAACTTCCAGAACACATCAAAGGTGCAAAGAGGGCAAACGGTGGATTTCTTTGGAAATTTACCTGTCCGTGTTTTTCCAAAGTGCAGTGGCAGACCCCTGGTCACCCTCAAAAGTGTCCCTTCAACCTTCTGCCCACCAGAACTCTCGGAAACCAAAACCAAAATCACATCTTGAGCAGACCCAAGTAATGTGAGGAGAGAATTCAACAGCAAACAGAGGTTGGTGGTCATCTACAGACGGAGGGGTCTGGCAAGATCCTTAGAGCTAAACAGCCCAGGGAGTGGGAGGAGAGAGTGGAGCCCGGGGGGAGGCTGAGAGCTCCAGGCTCTCCTGGCAGGAGGGATTGGGGGATGCTGCCTGGGTGAGGCCAACAGTCCCCAAATCTCTGATCTCGCAAATGGCAGAGCTGGGGATGGAGTGGGGCAGGGGTGAAGTGTGGGGAGTCTCTTTGGGCCTCCGCCTGCAAAGTACAACTCAACTACAGCCATCCCCATCTCCAGACGCGCCCGCCTGGCATCTGCCTCCCACATCTCTTTCAAGATCCACGGACTCTCTCCTAGCTCCTGCCGGCTTCCCTGGCATCCTTCTGCTAGCAAACAGCCCAAGAAAGACAATGGGCCTTAACATTTTTAAAAGAAAGAAAGGAAAAAAAAAAAAAAAAAAAAAAGGAAAGGCCAGAGTAAACTGTTACAACAGCAGAACACAAGAGCTGAGATTGTGTCTGACTAGCCTCAGTTTCTTGGAGTACCAGTGGAAGTAAACCCTCACGCCGCGTCTATCGCTCGGTAAGGCACTAGGAGGGAATGATGTGCAGTTTGAAGACTGCGCCGGCCGGGGTGGCGGCGCCAAGGGGCACACGGGGAGGGCGGCGCGCACACCCACCCGCACTCGCCCGCTCACCGCACGCCTGCACCGCCACATTGGTTACATGCCTATGTTATATCACTTTTTTTTTTTTTTGTGCAATTACATTGAGGAATATTCTATTGGTATCATTGGAGTTGAACACAGGTAGGAGACAAGGGTGCCGGGTGCTACATTCTACTAGGGTGCCCGCGACCACCGCTAGCCCTACGCGACGCGACAGGGGGCGGATTCAGAGAGAAAATACATTTTCAGAAAAGAAAAAAAATCTAAAGTTTGCAACACACATTATTAATGACGTTTGAGGGACAACACTGTTTAGGGATTTATCCAGAGTGCTCAGAAAGAGAAAACCCGCCCCTCGCACCCAGGGGCCCTTCCAGCAGCCTGGCCGGCTCGTCTTTCCTGACTAGGGATCCAGGACTGGGCTTCGACAACCCCACACCACCCAACACATCAGCCTCCTCGGGCTGCAGCCTGACCTTCTGGAGGGCTGTTGACCCTTTCGAGTTCTGGAAAAATCTCTAAATCTTATGTTCAATTAATTAAAAATCTATTTGATTTCCATATCAGGTGTCCCTGACAGCAAAGTCTTCCGTATCACTTGCTGCCATATGAAAATAATCTTTGAAAAGTTCATAAAGTTCTTCAAAAACTGGGGCCCCCTCCCCCGGCTTCTGGAATCTTCCTGGTGCTCTCTTCTCCTTTCCAGTTTGGTGTAGAATGGGTTCTTGAGCTGTGTGTGTGTTTTTTTGTTATTGACGTTTTCTTTTTTTCTTTTTTTTCTTTTTCTTTTTTAAAATAAAAAGCATAGATTTCCCACCCTCTTGAATCCCTTCCTTTTAAAAATGTTCTCTTCTCTGCTCTACGTCCTCCCACTTCCCGGTTCAAGTTTCACTGGTGTCCCGTCCTGGCCCCTGTCCCCCCCTCCCCTCCCCCGCCCCTGCCCCGTTTGCATTGTTTCTGTGCGGCATCTTCAGTATAAAAGGCCAGCGCCCACGGTCCCAGGAGCGCCTCCCTCCTCCTCTCCCTCCTCCCTCGGGCTATCCTCTCCCTCCCTCCCTCCCTCCCCTCCAGTGTTTATATGTAAGGGTACTGGTTGACCTTGGCGGGGCTCAGTGGATATCCAGTGTAGACGGTAGAGGCCGGCGAGGCGCTGATGTAGGTCTGGTGGGCAAACTGGGCTGGATACTGACTCGGGTGGATGGTGGGCGAGGGCAGGACCCGGGGGCCCATGCTCACGGGGACCTGGTGGACGATGCTGGCTGGGTAGGCAGTGTGCTGCACGGTGTGGCGCGCCGAGCCCTGTGAGGCCACCAGGTGGGCCACGGTGCCGGTGGAACCCAGGGCAGCAGGCGCAGTGTAGGTGTAGAGGTGGGGCTGGGTGGGGAGGTGGGCGGCGGCGGCTGCAGCCAGGTGGGGATGGACAGTGCCGTGGCTGGGGCTGTTGTGTGGGAAGGAGTACGGAGCCTGGGCCATGGTAGGAGTGATATAGGCCTGCTGCCGTCTGTGGCTCCCAGTGCGGTCCGCAGTGATGTGCTGCTGAGCCTGGGGAGGAGAGGCAACAAGAGAGACATCAGGGGCCGGCACATGGGTTGGAAGGTGTGGGAGGAGGAACGGGAGGGCAGGAAGGAGGAAGAGAAGGGAAAGACGCCAGAAGGGACATAAGGGGCTTCCTTCTGTGTTAGTTGAAAGTTGAAATTTAGTTGGGGCCCAGCGCGGTGGCTCACGCCTGTAATCCCAGCACTTTGGGAGGCGGAGGTGGGCTGATCACCTGATGTCAGGAGTTCAAGACCAGCCTGGCCAATATGGCGAAACCCTATCTCTACTAAAATACAAAAAAAAAAAAAAAAAAAAAATGAGCTGGGGATGGTGGTGGTGTGTGCCTATAGTCCCAGCTACTTGGGAGGCTGAGGCATGAGAATTACTTGAACCTGGGAGGTGGGGGTTGCAGTGAGCCGAGATCACACCACTGCACTCCAGCCTGGGTGACAGAGCGAGACTCTGTCTCAAAAAAAAAAAAAGATTTCATTTGGAATGAAAAAGTCCCCACTTGGCTTACCACTCACCAGGCTGGGATGATACACGTATAAAGCCAGCTGCAAAGTTACAGGAGAAAATATTTCTCCCAAGGAGGTACAGAAGCTGTGGCGTATCAGGATGCCCCAGGCTGGAGTGCAGTGGCATCAACCTAGCTCACTGGAGCCTCAAACTCCTGGCCTAGGGTGATCCTCCTGCCTTGGCCTGCTGAGATGCTGGGACTACAGGCGTGAGCCACCGCACCAGGCCAGGACATGCTCTTTGAGCGGCAATTGCTTTCTTACTCATTGTAAAATCTTGTTCTCAAAACTGTTGGCTCTCACAACATCTCTACAAAAATTTTTGAAATGTAGCTGGGTTTGGTGGCTCACGCCTGTAGCCCCAGCGACTCAGGAGGCTAAGATGGGAAGATTACTTGAGTCCAGGAGGTTGGGACTGCAGTGAGCCACGGCTGTGCCACTGCACTTGAGCGTGAGCAACAGAACAAGCCCCTGGCTCATACACACACAAAAAGGTTGACTCTTGGAAGCTTTGCTGTTTGAAGTTCTGTCAGTTCAAATAAAATAGCCCTCTCCTACCTGGAAAACCTGTCACGTGTCAGAGCCGGCTCCATTTACCACCCAGGACAGCACTTCAGATGAGGGGCTTTAAACACAAACGCCCCATTTATCTCAGCTTTTAGTTCCTTTCTTAATTTTTTTTTTTTGAGACAGAGAGTCTTGCCCTGTCACCCAGGCTGGAGTGCAATGGTGCGATCTCAGCTCACCACAACCTCCACCTCCCGGGTTCAAGCGATTCTCCAGCCTCACCCTCCAGAATAGCTGGGATTACAGGCGTCCACCACCATGCCCAGCTAATTTTTTGTATCTTTAGTAGAGATGGGGTTTCATCATGTTGGCCAGGCTGGTCTCGAACTCCCGACCTCATGATCTGCCCACCTCAGCCTCCCAGAGTGCTGGGATTATAGTCATGAGCCACCGTGCCCGGCCTTACCTTGTAGTTTCTAGAGAAACAGGGCCCTGAGTCCACGGTATGAGTCAGGCGTGATGCTGAGCCCTTCACACAGCCCTGCACCTGCAGAAACTTGGGTCACTCAGATTTCACCTCGACCCACCCACCTTCCTCCAAGTCCTAGGACCGCTCTTACCCTAGACTTGGGGACTGTGGTGTGTGGCCCTCCCTCGATGAGCTGGATGCAGGTCTGTCCCTGGTGTCGCAGGCCGACAGGGCCGGGACACAGTGCTCTCCCCTTTGCTGGGGTGAAACAGCAATATGTGGGCCATCCTATTTTTAAGCTCCACATCACTAAGGGCTCTGTAGCACTGGACAAGTCACTTTGCTTTGGGCCAGCTCTCTGTGCACCAGTGATACCAACTTCCCTAAGGGTGACCTGTGGTGGAAGAAGCCACCAGAGGTCACCAAGGGCATGTGCTGCCACCCGTGGGTGGGACTGCAGGCTTGTGAGGTAGGTGAGGGGCCGCCACTGCGATCTTCTCTGCAGCGGAAGGATGAGGGGATTGGGGCTCTGCCCGGCCTGAGGTGCCAGCTGTGCCACTCACCTGGCTGAGATTGAGCGGCTGCTGCTGCTGGAAGTGGGGGCCTGGCCGCTGCTGCCGGTAGGCGATGGCTCCAGACGAGCTCCCTGAAGAGTGACCGCTGGTGGAGGTCACGTTGCTGGAGGACTTCGGCTTGTAGGAGGATGAGTGGTGACTGGTGTTGACTGTGGCAGGAGGAAAAAGAAGTCAGATCAGTGGCGGGGTCCCAGCTGCCTAGAAGATGCTACCCCACCAGGTATCAGTGGTCTTCCAGGAAGAAAAATGCCTGAGGCCGGGCACTCACAAATCCGCCTCATCTCCCTGGGACCCCCTAGGACTTTGCCTTGACTCTGGATGCAGTGGGGCTCTGGCTCACTCCCACAGCCGGGAGGGTGGTCAAAGCTGCACGAGGGGATGAAGCGTGGAAAAGCAGAAAAGACTCAGGAGAGGCAAAGTGAGCCATGGCCTAAGGCCAGGCCCAATCTTGCTCCTCTGGGAGGTGTTACTTCCAGTGTCTGGAAAGTGGGTGGGAAAGATCCGTTGTAATTTGAATGTGTTCCCCAAAGTTCTTGTGTTAGCAGCTTAATCCCCAGTGCAAGTGTTTAGGATGGGGCCAGTGAGGGATGTTAGGTCCTGAGGGCAGAGCCCTCACAAGTGCATGACTTCATCAGTGCCTTAACGAGGTTATCTCAGGAGTGGCTTAGCTATTGAGAGACCGGCTTTTTTGATGAAAACAAGTCTGGCCCCCTCAATCTCATGTTTTCTTGCCCTTATGCCTCCTGTCCTGGGATGACGCAGCACAAAGGTCCTCACCAGATGCTGGCACCCTGTTCTTGGACTTCCAGCCTTCAGAAGTGAGCCAAATAAACTTCTATTGATTATAAATTACCCAGTCTCAGGTTCTTGGTTACAGCAACACAAAATAGATTAAGACAGGGGCCCTGCTTGGTCCTCACCGTGGGTGACTATGGGTATCAGAGGAGCCAAGACAGCATCTGTGGTGGGACCTAATGAACAAGAGAAGCTAAAATAATGCTCACAGTCACCTGGTCTAGTCACCTGCCTCGAGGCAGGGGAACTGAGTCATCCAGGCAATGGCCCTGTGAGCCAAATATCGCCAAGCACAAAACTACTTCCACGTTATTGCCAGGAGGACTGAAGAGTGGAACAAGCACTGTGACCCTCCAGAGGTGACCTCATGGTCAGCAAGTGGCTCCATCAATGCTTCCCAAATGTAATTCCTGCATCTTGCTCAGTGTAGACTCTGGCCAGCAGCTCTAGGGGGCCTGAGCATCTGCATTTCTGACAAGCTCCCTGGGGATGCCAATGCTGCTGGTCGGTGGACACACTCTGAGTAGCCAGGGGCTCTGAGAGAGGCTGGTTGAACCCTGAGCTGGATGGCTTCCATGTTACCCAGCCAGAGAGCCACGGGAGCCTCTTCAGAGCCCAGTGGTTTTAACTCATCCAACAAGTATTTTCTGAGCGCCTGCTGTGTGCTAAGGACAATGACTGTGTAGCACTGGGGACGGGGGTGGCAGGGAGAAGGCTGAGAGTGTGAATAAGGAGGAGGCATCACAGATCGTGCAGATGAGGTGGCGAGGCCAGAGAATAAACCAGGTGAAGGGGCTGACAGGCAGGGACAGGCTGAGTCCAGCGAGGCCGCCGGAGCAGGACGGAGCAGGACAGAGCAGGACAGGGCGTAAGTGTCCAGCCCGGAGGGGCAAGAGCCCAGAGTGGGGGAGCTCTGCTGCCAGGTGGGGGCCATCTCCCCCAACCCCCAGTTGGGAGAGCTCTGCTGGCAGGACCATCACCCCTTGATAAAAGCAGAAGAGACGCTTTACTAGCCCCCCAACGTCCCTGTGCCTCAGCTCTCCTCCAGGAGGGGGCCGCCTAACACACAGCGCAGTATTATACACAACTAAATGAACTTTCAAATCAAATGCACCGGCCATTGCCCTTCATTAAATGCAAGCACTTCTGTAACGGCAAAAGCAACAAACAGACCCAAACTAGTGAGAAGACACCAGGCTTCTTTTTTTTTGAGACAGAGTTTTGCTTTTGTTGCCCAGGCTGGAGTGCAATGGCGCAATCTCGGCTCACCGCAACCTCCGCCTCCCAGGTTCAAGCGATTCTCCTGCCTCGGCCTCCTAAGTAGCTGGGAGGACTTGGGCTTGCAGGAGGTCCCAGTCCTTAGAGTCTGCATTTCATCATGCTGGCCAGGCTGGTCTTGAACTCCTGACCTTGGGTGATCCACCCACCCTTGGCCTCCCAAAGTGCTGGGATTACAGAAGTGAGCCATCTTGCCGGGCTGACACCGGGCTTCTTTAAGAGCAACCTGTGTAATAATAGCCTAGGAACACCTTTCTCTAACTTCAATGCCAATGGGAGCAGAAAAAGAGGGGTTTAGTAAATGAAGCCTACAACAAAACAGCCTGAAGACTGTGTGGTTTGTGTTGTATAGTTTGAAACCAGTTCCAACAAGCATTGCTTCTGTTCCTTAAGAATAGTACAGTTAATGGAGAAGAAAACATCTTCTGGGGGAAAAAGACAGGCAGATAGCCCCTAGCAAGAAGGGCAAGGCAGACCAGGGAATGAATGAGAGCCTGGCGCTGGGGCTGGGGGCTGTCCCGCCTCCTTGGGCATCCAGTCCCTCTTGGGGTGAGATGTGCACACGGACAATACTGATTTTTTTTTTTTTTTGAGATGGAGTTGTGCTCAGTCACCCAGGCTGGAGTGCAGTGGTGTGATCTCGGCTCACTGCAGCCTCCACCTCCCGAGTTCAAGCGATTCCTGCCTCACCTTCCTGAGTAGCTGGGACTACAGGCGCCCACCACCACACCCAGCTGATTTTTATATTTTTAGTAGAGATGATGGGGTTTTACTATATTGGCCAGGCTGGTCTCAAACTCCTGACCTTGTTATTCACTCGCCTCAGCTTCCCAAAGTGCTGGGATTACAGGTGTGAGCACCATGCTCAGCCACTAATTTTTGTATTTTTAGTACAGACAGAGTTTCACCGTGTTATCCAGGCTGGTTGTGAATGCCTGACCTCAAGTGATTTGCCTGCCTTGGCCTCCCAAAGTGTTGGGAATACAGGCGTGAGCCACTGCGCCCAGCCATGATACCAATTCTTAGTCTAAGAACCAGACTGAGGAAGGCTTTGCCCAGGGAAAAGGGGGCCCATTTTAAGAGAGAAAGGTCATGAGTGACCTCCTTCCCACTGCCCTTCGTTGATCTGAGCACTCTAGGTGTTGTATCTTGTACTCACTTTTCTTCATGAAATTTCTGGAACGTGCTTGAAATATTTTTACTACCTTGACTTTCTATGGAGGACAGCAATATTTCTTTCTTTCTTTCTTTTTTTTGAGATGGCATCTCACTCCGTTGCCCAGGCTAGAGTGCAGTGGCACAATCTCGGCTCATTGCAACCTCCGCTTCCTGGGTTCAAGAGATCTGCCAGCCTCCCAAGTAGCTGGGATTACAGGCTTCCATTCCCATCCCCAGCTAATTTTTTGTATTTTTAGTAGAGACGGGGTTTCGCCATGTTGGCCAGGCTGGTCTCGAACTCCTGACCTTGGGTGATCCACCTGCCTTGGCCTCCCAGTGTGCTGGGATTACAGGTGTGAGCCACCATGCCTGGCTGAGGACAGCTACATTTCTGTGACTTATATTTTCTGGAAACCTTGCTGGACTTTAGGATTACTGTTTGATGACACTGAAAAGCGTACAAAGCCCTAGGAGAGGAAACATGAAATAACAGTGTATAGAAAAGAGCTTTGGCCGGGGAATCCAGTCATCCACCAAATGTGGTGCTGTCCTTCCACAGAGCCCCAACTCTAAGGCTGTCCACATTTGAGGAAGTTGCCCACAGTAGAGGTGTTCGAATGATTAATCAGGTAAAGTGTTTCATATTAAGGGAGAAGCAGCAAGAACATATTGCAGGATGCCCAAAGGCAGGTCTGTATCTCATGCTCAGAAGCAAGAATTCAGAGCATTCATTTCGGAGCCTGAGCATCTGAGGTGAACACGAAGGTTCATTCTGTCTCAATGAAGTATCCTGTGGGTGGTGAGTATTAAAGGTGAGAATCTGGTCATTCTTGGGGCAGAGGGTGATAAATATTAATGAGCCATGCATGGGAACAACCAGGCCCTTGATTGAATTCGGTTGGATCAATTCTATTACAAATCCCAGGGCAATAAAATCAAAGTCAAAGAGGAGACGCCTGAGGGGGAGCCCAGCAAGAAAGAATGCTGATTAATTGCTGATGAATAGAGAAATGTGCCTCTAGAGGTCTCAGCCTCCCAAGAAGGTAGAAGGAAAACCCGAAACCTGGGGACAGGAGATTGCGGTGCACACTGCAGGTGGAGGGGGGCCTTCCTGACCCCAAACCCCACAGACCCCCCTGCCCTGAGTGAAGGGCATACAGGGCGAGGTGCCTCAGTGGGGATAGAAGCAGTGGGTGCTACTCAGAGGCCCCAAATCCAACGTGCGATTGCAGCTGGGGCCCCTCCCACCCCATCCACTGAATCAGATCCTTGGGTAGGTGTGGGGAATCTGGAATCTGTATTCTTAGCGAGCTTCCCAGGACTCCAGAGCCGCCTGGCCCTGGCTGAGCAGACCTGCATTTGGGAATCAGAGCCCTGAGACCCAACACTGTGTCCAAACCAAACCTGTTAGACTCAAAGATCCCTTGAAACCTAGAGGACGGAGGGTTTTTTGAGGACTCAATGTAGAAAAAAAAAATAGCTGCAAATGTGTAGAATGCTTAGTATCTGGCATCTAAGGGCTCAAGTATTGAGTACCTGGCATTTAAGTACTTAAGAAGTGTTAGCCCTTGTTGGCATTATTATTAAACTCCGTCTCCTGGTTAAAGCTGAGGCTCAAAAAATAGGTGTCTTGGCCAGGCATAGTGGCTCATGTCTATAATCCTAGCACTTTGGGAGGCCGAGGCAGGTGGATTACCTGAGCTCAGGAGTTCCAGACCAGCTTGGCCAACACGGTGAAACCCTATCTCTACTAAAACACAAAAAGTTAGCTGGGTTTGGTGGTGCACGCGTTAATCCCAGCTCCTTGGGAGGCTGCGGCAGGAGAATTGCTTGAACCCGAGGCGGAGGCTGCAGTAAGCCGAGGTCATGGCACTGCACTCCAGCCTGGGCAAGAGAGTGAGACTCTTGTGTCCAAAACCAAACCAAACCAAACCAAACCAAACCAAACCAAACCAAACCAAACCAAACCAAACCAGGTGTCTCTCCAAGCTGGGACAATCAATTCTAGTCTCCTGGAAATGGGAACTAAAGCATGGGAGTTGCTGGCTGAGTGGAGTGAAGGCAGCGTCAGAGAGCAGGTCTCTGGCCCCCGGGGCTCAGGTTGTTCAGGGGTTCTGGTTCCTGCCCCGCCTGGGACTTAGTTGCCGAACTTTCCCTCAGCCCTTCATCCTTCCAATAAGTTGTCTTAAGCCAGTGCAGAGTTCATTCTGTTGCTTCCAAAAGAAACTTCACTAACCCCAACCTGAGAAGGACTGGAAGGCTGAGAGCTGCAGGCGGGGGTGGGCATGGTAGGGAGATGGCAGCACGCATCCTGGCCTAGGTGGGCTGGGGAACCCTGAACTCTCCCATGCTCTGGGAGCTCCAGCTGGGGGGGCTGCCACCGGTTCTACCTTGGCCTGTACACACCACCGGGCACCAGGGAGCTGAGCGAGGCTGCATTCCCGACTTTTCTGAGCCTAGGAGGGTTCTGCAGCTGACGGTGTGTATCAGGATTGAACACCACCGACTGGGAAAGGGCGGGCACCCGACGAGGAATGCCCCTGCTTGCGAAGGCACAGGCCGCATTTCCTGTGTGTGGAATGAGTTCAGTCTGCAGCTTCGAGGTTTGCACACACATATGTTTAAATAACTTAAATAATGTTACAATATACAGCAAGACAAATTCTATCCTTTGCAAATACTTAAAAATTGTGCTACATATAGCTTTAAATAATATTTAAAGGCTAGCTGAGCTGGAAAGTATGCCCCTCTCTCTTTGTAAGGAATCCTGGCTCCTGGTGCAAATGACTTCAGGTGTCTTCCAGGGCCCCTTGGTTACTGCTAGAGAATGCTGCTTCCCGGCAGGGGTTCCAGCAAAATATTTGCCAGGGTAGAAAAAAGATGGTTTTTGGAGAGGGATGTCTTTGTGGCCTTGTGGAAAGGCCAGCTTCATTTTCTTTTCTTGACAGAGGTGCTTAATTCTGCGGGGAGCGGAGAGGGGACTCCAGCCTGGTTCTTGGGCTTCAGATCACCAGACCCTAGCAGTAAGTACAGTCCGACCCATCAACCAGAAGGCTCGCCCTGGCGTCTGGCACTGCCATGGCTCCACTTTCTCGAAGGGAAAATCTCCTTCTTCCGAGAGAGTGCTGTGTGAGCTGCGTGCTGCTCACGTCTTTCTTGTGGAGCAGCCAGGACCCTGCGGGCACCATGACCCCCTGCCTCTGGGCCCACAGGAGGGCTGGTTCTGATGTCAAGGCCACTTGGAGGCTGCATCGTCTCGACGGTACTATTGGGGATGGACCAGGACTTGAACATGGAGAAGCTTTAGCAGGGTGCTGAGCAGCTGTGTTTCACAAGCATTTCTTCAGAGGAAAGGCAGCTGGGGTAAGTGACCCCAAAGTCAGCGAAAAAGAGCTTCTGACACAAATGTTGGAAGGGGTGATGCTGCGTTGGGTTGGGAAGTGGGCAGCGGGGAGCACGAGCCTGTGGCTGTCACCATCTCCCCTTCAGGCTGAGCCTCTCAGCAAAAGGGGCCCCATCCTAGGCAATGCCAGGAGCTTTTGGGAGAGTGTCCCAGGGCGCTGACCCTCGCCGCCTGAGGCGCTGCGCTGGAGAGCCCTAATGACTCCAGCCTGCCTCCACTCTTCAGCCTCAGCGGCAGCTCCTGAACGGGACCTGCGCCCACTGGGCCTTGCATGTGGCCACCACCGAGGAAGAGTCCCCGGTTTCCTGTAGCCACCTCCGGTGACACAGACAGGAGGTCCTCCTGAGAACTAACAGCTCCTCACACCTCGACAAAGCTTCTTGGCGTTCCCTTTCCCTCCCTTTTCAGCTGCGCCATCATGAAGGTGCAGATTGGCTTGGGTGTGGCTTGGGGCAGAACAGCGGGCCGTGCAGATTTCTCCGGGGTTAGCCCTTACATTCTTCCACTGTGAGCATGAGCAAGGGAAACGCTAAACCGATGCTCCAAAATTTATGGTGAGCCATTTATGGTGAGTTTATTCAGAAGGTTACGTTCTCAGCCTTTATTCCGGGGCCCAATTTTTAGGACAAGCCTTCGCAGGACAGGAGGAGTCCTTTGAAGAGAGCAGCGCGTGAGCAGAGAAACACGCACGGCTCGGTCTCACCTCCCTGCAGCCGATTCTGAGGGGCTGAGAGGTGCCGATTTCAGCCTCCCCTAGCAAGACTCGGAGGAAGTTCCTCCTACACAAGCAACCCACCCAACCACCAGGGCTTCTCGGAACGGAGTGGTGCTAGATGTCAGCCAGGAACTCCCCAGACCAGGTATCCTTCCAGGCTGGGGGATAAAGAACCACGCAGCTTTTATTTCCTATTAATCAACCTAGTTGGAAGCAGAGCCATTGTAAAGGCAGCGAGGTATTGATTACGGAATTAAAGAAGGAAAACGCTGCTTATACAATGTGCTGGTAAGTAGAAGCCTCCGTTGGCTATCCGAATGGAGTCCTGGGTAAGGATCGCCTGTAGCCACTGGGCACTTTCCATTGTACCAGCTCCCATACAGCAGCAGAAACACAGGAAAACTGCTCTCCAGGGACATGTTCCTGTCCTGTCCTGGCCCCAAATTACCTGGCACCAGGCTATCGCACTCCACCAATACTTCGCTGGCCTGGGTTTTCAGGGGTGGCACGATGATGGTTCGGGGGTTCCCCGTGCAGTGATTCTCCAGGCTCCCCTTGGTGTCAAAGGCGTTGGCATTGTTGTGCCCGGCACGCTGCTGCACGGAGTAGGGGCTGGTGTTGCTGGAGGAGTCGGAGTAGGGGGAGTCATGGACCGTGACGCAGCTGATGACGTTTTTCCTTTGCTTGGAGACAGTGCTGAAAATGCAAAGGGAGAAGTCAGAGGTGGGAGAAGGTCGCGAAGTGAGACACCCAACTAGCCTTTCATGCCCTGGGGCAGGGGAGGAAGGGAGGGGAGAGGGGACAAACAGGACTTCTGCCCTCCCTAACTCCCATGGGGAGGCTGGGCATGCAACCGTCTCCTGTGTAGCCCGCAGCAGGGGGAGATGTGAAGACATGGGGAAGGAGGGGCTGGTGCTGGACCCACAGCTGCTTCCGGGAACTAGGGAGTGAGACGCTTCTGGGCTAGCCTGGGCTCTTTCTGTGCAGCAGAGCTCAGCACAGCTGCAGGGGAGGCGCCTGCAGCCCAGAGCTGTGTGCAACCCCCATGGACCATCTGAGCAAGAAGAGAGAACCAGCAAGAACGCGGCAACGTGGGGACATGGGTTAGGAGTAAACGTTGCTGGGAGAGGAATGTCATGAGTTTAGGGTTGGTGCCTGTGGCCTGGCAAAGCTTATGCAGGAGGGGACGGAATGTCCATGAAATGGGATGCGGCGTGAGGCTCTGAGGGGCAGGGCAGACGTGCTGGAGAGAAGAACGCAGAGCTGAACTGGACACCCTCCGCCTCTCCTTGCTTTGAGTGTGCTCTGTGGGCTGACTGTGTGCAGGCCACCGGGACCTCTGCACTCCCCTTCTCAGGAGCCTGGATCACCTGCGGCTTTTCCACTGCCTGGAGGGACGGGGGTCGGCATGGCACTGGCACCTGGTGGGAAGGCCCCTGCCACGCCGATGCCATGTGAAAGCCACTCTGATGCCCTGGCCTTCATCTTACATGTGAAACTTCAGACAATAGGGAGGCACTGGCTTTGGACGGCTCTTGGCTGGCCTATTTGTTCAGAGATTTTTAAGTTAGTGTGGTTACTTTGGGAACCACTTCTGTCTTCAAGCTCAGCGAGTGGCTTGTTGGCATGATGGATGTGAAATGTATTGCTTACTGTGTGCTTATTTAAGGCTTTAAAACTGAATGTGCATCTATTTTTGTATATTGATCATTTATTTTTAAGAAATAGCAATTGCCTAGGCAAGCAGGTCAGTTTCCAGCTAATTGGATGAGAGAAGCAGCTGGTACTTATAGAGCCTGACGGAGTCACAGCCCTTTCCCGAGTATCTTGTTTAAGGCCACACAGCCAGGCCAGGCTCTTCCCATGATGGATCTCTACCACCCTAGGGGCAGCAGGGAAGTGGGCAAATTCCAGAGCCCACAGCAGCCAGGAAGGAGGGATGGAAGAACCGAGCACAGCTGCGGAGCTACAGAAGGCTAGGGGAGCCAGGTGGTGCAGTCCGGAGGAGGCGTCGGCCCTGCTCCCCAATGCCCAGCGCTCCTGACACTAGGCTGGATAGTTCTTCCAGTGGCTGGACACTGTCCTCTCTGGGTCAGGGTACCCAACTGTGTTTGTGGGTGAGAACATGAACCTTGCAGTCAGATGTCTAACTTCAGCATGTGCTGGTGGTAGGGCAGTGATTTAGTGGCCTCATCAGTAAAAGGTAGGTAATAATTGTGCCTAAGTCATAGGCTTGTTTTGAGAACTAAGTGAGAAAATACAAGTAAAGTGCTTTAAGTGGTACACAGCACATGGTAAGTATTCCATAACAGCTGTTACCATTATTCTTCTTGTAAGTTGTGTTAACTTATTTAACATGTGAAAACAGGTTTGCAAAAAACTTATCTAGGCAAAGAGAATTCTAGCAGGGTAAGGACTTGCTGGAAAAGTTTCTTTCTTTCGATTCTATGAATAAACCAGAAGATTGAAATGAAAGAAAATTGAAACTCATCATATCTTGGAGATCTGTGTATGGTAGGTACTACAGGGAATACCTATACAAAGAAATATGTGTCTCTACCCTTGAGGAGATTAAAATCTCAGTGTATAAAAACATGACAAGTTAAACGGTAAAAGCTTTAAAATAACCAGTTAGAGAGAATAATGGATGTCACAAAGGCTTCGTGATTAACTGTCAGATGACTTGTACAGATGATAATTGTTAAGAACTCAAAAGAAGGTGAGGAATTAATTGGCTGCATATATTTATGGCTCTTCATGTTAACTTAAAATAGATAAATTTTAATTAATAAAGACCCAAACCTCCCAGTTATGACAGTTTAAATATGAAATGTCCATAGGCTTGTTCCTCAAAAAGCTAAACATGGAGTTACCATATAGCAATTCCATTCCTAAGTACGTATTCAAAGGAATTGGAAACAGGTACTCAGATACACATGAGTCAATGTTCACTGCGGCACTGTTCACAACACCAAAGCTGAAAACAACGCAAGTGTCCATCAACCGATGGATGGATAGAAAATGTGGTGTGGCCACACAATGGAATACTATTCAGTCATAAAAATGAATGAACACTGGGAGGGGTGGCTGAGGCCTGTAATCCTGGCACTTTGGGAGGCTGAGGTGGGAGGATTGCTTGAAGCCAGGAGTTCAAGACCAGCCTGGGCAACACAGTAAGAGCCCATCTCTACAAAAAATTTAAAAACAAGCCAGGGATGGTGGTGTGTGTCTGCAGACCCACCTGTTTGGGAGGCCGAGGTGGGAGGATCATTCCTCGAGCCCAGGAGTTTGAGGCTGCAGTGAGTTATGATCACACCACTACACTCCAGCATGGGTGACAGAGAGACCCTGTCCCTCCACCGCAAAAAAAATGTTCTGATACATGCTACAATATAGATGGGCCTTGAAAACATTAAATGCAATAAACCAGACAAAAAAGGACAAATAGTTTGAGTCTACATATATGAAATATCTAAACAGGCAAATTCATACAGGCAGAAAATACATTAGACGTTACCAGAAGTTGGGAGCTAAGGGAGAAGAAAGTGGGAAGTTACTGATTAATAGTATAGTTTTTGGTTGGGGCGATGGGAAAGTTCTGAAAATAGATAATGGTGATGGCTGCACAGCATGATAAGTATAATTAATGTCACTGAATTTACACTTAAAAATGGTCAAAATAGCAAATTTTGTTATATATATTTTACCACAATTAAAAATTCATAGATTAAACCCACTGAACTATCCACATTCAATGGGTGAACCGTACAGTACATGAATTATATCTCCATCAAAAAACAAAGTCCATAGGCTCACTCAGAAACAAAAAAGCAAAAGAGATTCAGTGTCTTGGGCACTTTGTAGCTGTACAGAAGGGTTCAGTAGAGACACCTGGAGGGTTGGGAGGGCACCGAGACCCAGTACAAGAATTATAAAGTGGGAGCTGGGTGCGGTGGCTCACCCCTGTAATCCCAGCACTTTGGGAGGCCAAGGTGGGAGAACTACTTGAGGCCAGGAGTTTGAGACCAGTCTGGGCAACAGAGCGAGACCCCACCTCCACAAAAATAAAAACATTAGCTACACATGGTGGTGTGTGCCTATCATCCTAGCTGCTCGGGAGGCTGAGGCAGTAAGATGGCTTGAGGCCAGGAGTTTGAGGCTACAGTGAGCTGTGATCATGTCACTGCACTCCAGTGTAGGTGACAGAGAGAGACCTATACTCTAAAGAGAAAACAGTAAAAATAAATAAAAAGAATTAGGTACTGTGGCTCACACCTGTAATCAGCACTTTGGGAGGCCAAGGCAGGCAGATCACTTGAGATCGGGAGTTTGAGACCAGCCTGGCCAACATGGCAAAACCCCATCTCTACTAAAAATACAAATATTAGCCAGGCATGGTGGTGCACACCTGTAATCCCAACTACTCGGGAGGCTGAGGCAGAAGAATCTCTTGAACCCGGGAGGCAGAGGTTGCAGTGAGCTGAGGTCACACCACTGCACTCCAGCCTGAGTCACAGAGTGGGACTGTCTCAAAAAAAAAAAAAAAGAAAAGAAGAAAAAATTAAAAAATCCTGGGTGTGCTGGCGCTTGCCTATAATCCTCGCTTCTTGGGAGGCTGAAGTAGGAGAACTGTTTGAACCTGGGAAATAAGGTTGTAGTGAGCTAGATCACACCACTGTACTCTAGCCTGGGTAACAGAGCGAGACTCCATCTCAAAAAAAAAAAAAAAAAAAAAAAAGATTGCTGTCCCCCAATAACAAAAAAGAATATCTAGAAATATTTTATAAATAGAAATTAAACAAAAAAAGAATTAGGAAGTAGGATTCCAGGAGAAGGTCTCTGAGCTAAGAGGGAGTGAGGAGGGATCTGAGAGCAGGGAGACACGGGAGGCTGAGGACGAGGAGGGAACACAGGAGGGAAGGAGAGCCGCCTTAGAGGGCAGCGAAACCTGCAGCTGTCTTCTGGGATGAGTGGGGAGGGTAAAGGGAAACAACCCGCCTGCTGCTGTCTCTTGGGTAGTAAGGGAACTCCTCGCACCCTGCGCTATTTTGAAGTGCTCCGAGGGCCAGGGGAAGAGCTGGGAACCAAGACTGTATGCAGCTGCTGGTTCCCACGGGGATGGCGCTGCCCTGCCCTTCACTCTCAGCCTCGGGCATGGCTACTCCTGATCATCTAGCGAAACGCAGACATGCGCTGTGGCAGGTGCACATTCTGTGGATAGAAGACCCCACGTGAGGATGGAAGCTGACTCCCAAATGTGTCCTGGGAGCTGGCACTGCAGTCCCAGCTCTGCTGTCCCTTTGCTGCTGTGGCTCTGGACAGGGGCCTGGATAACCTGTAATATCCATCCAGCTCCAACCTACTCTGAAATTCATTGTGAGATTACTCATGGCATTAAAGGAGCCATTGTGAGGATCTCTGAAAGACTCCTAGAGACATTCTGAAATAGGAATGGTGTAGCCCTAATCTGGAGAGGAAAGTGATCCTTTTAGTAGATGTACGTTACCTATAGACCCAGATCTGGCCAGTTCTTGCCGATCATATCTTCCTCAGGATCTGAGTAGTTTAGAAAATGAGCAATAAAAAAAAAAAACAAAAACAAAACAAAACAAAACAAAAAAACAAAGACAAAGACATACACACTAATTTCGGCAAAACTGTACTCTGTCCTCGAGTTAAATTCAAATTGGGCATAG